CAGGTCGTCTTTTATCAACAACGGTGGCGTTCCAGGGAGTCTTTTTTTGCACGTCTCAGCAACCACATGGTGTGATACAGCGTTGTTCTGAGATTCGCGGTGCGTCTGTAAAAAAAAACTAAAAGACAACCTGGAAATGCACCAATGTGAATATCATGGCAGTGTTAGGAAGTGTGTTTTTTTTATTTGTCCACCAACGACTGATCTGTATTTCCCTCCTCCTCCACACACCCATTTGGCTCCCTTCTAGCCGGCCCCGCCTCCTCCGGTTGCCTTGGATATGGATGAAGAGACACAGCTCCGGATCGCCCTGAGCCTGAGCAAAGAGGAGCACCAGCAGGTAGCGCCCCCTGGCCCTGGGTGTCACTGGCCAAGACCCACATGGCACCCTACACACTACCTAGTGCACTGCGTGATAGTGGCCTGGTGGAACCAGCCTGATCCCCCTGCCAGCTCACATTCTGGTGTAGTGAAACAGAAACGTGAGTGAGTGCAGCGGTCAGACTGCTTGACCAGGCCAGCCACAAAGGTTTCAGGCCCAAAGTAGTGCACTACACAGGGACGAGGTTTGGCCCACTGAGAGGGGAATGGGGGAGCATGTTCTCTCCCCCTGAGCCCCCTGTGTTTTGTGTCTTGTGTCTAACCCCTTCTGGTCCTTCAGCTCAGCACTGCTCAACACCTCTCTTTCTTTCCTTCCTTCCTCCTGTCTGGCTGCTCATCCCCCCATCCTCAATGTTTTACACTCTAGACTGGGAACTCACTCTGCTTCTCTAGACTGGGAACTCACTCTGCTTCTCTAGACTGGGAACTCACTCTGCTTCTCTAGACTGGGAACTCACTCACTCTGCTTCTCTAGACTGGGAACTCACTCTGCTTCTCTAGACTGGGAACTCACTCCGTTCTCTAGACTGGGAACCTCACTCGGCTTCGCAGACGGGAACTCACTCGCTTCTCTAGATGGGAACTCATCTGATTCAAACTAGACTTGGAACTAACTCTGCTTCTCTAGAACTGGAACTCACTCTGCTCTCTAGACTACTCACTCTGCTTCTCTAGACTTGGAACTCACTCTGCTTCTCTAGACTTGGAACTCACTCTGCTTCTCTAGACTTGGAACTCACTCTGCTTCTCTAGACTTGGAACTCACTCTGCTTCTCTAGACTTGGAACTCACTCTGCTTCTCTAGACTGGGAACTCACTCTGCTTCTCTAGACTGGGAACTCACTCTGCTTCTCTAGACTGGGAACTCACTCTGCTTCTCTAGACTGGGAACTCACTCTGCTTCTCTAGACTTGGAACTCACTCTGCTTCTCTAGACTTGGGAACTCACTCTGCTTCTCTAGACTTGGTAACTCCTCTGCTTCTCTAGACTGGAACTCACTCTGCTTCTCTAGACTTGGGAACTCACTCTGCTTCTCTAGACTGGGAACTCACTCTGCTTCTCTAGACTGGGAACTCACTCTGCTTCTCTAGACTTGGAACTCACTCTGCTTCTCTAGACTTGGAACTCACTCTGCTTCTCTAGACTTGGAACTCATTCTCTCTCGCTGTCTACTCTCTCTTCGAGTCTCTCTCTTCTGCTTGGTCTCTCTCTCTCTAGGGTCTCTCCTCTCGGACTCTTCGCCTCTCTTCGCGTCTCTACTCTCTCGATGTTCTATCTATCTCGATTGATATCTCTCTCTCGCTGTATATCTCTCTCTCTGCAGCTCTCTCTCTAATCGCTCTGCCTCTCTGCCTCTCTCTCTCTTCTGCCTCTCTTCTCCTGACTCTCTGCTCTCTGTCTTCCTCTCCTCTCTCTCTCTGCTCTTCTCTTCTGCCCCTCTCTCTCTCTCTCTGCCAGGGTGGCACAATGGAAGCAGTTACTCACTGAGTGACTTGTGCTTGACTGCTCTCCTCTCTGACCGGAGTAGACTCTCTGTCTCCGTCTGTCTCTCTGATGCCTTCTCTTCCTTCTCACATGTCTTGTCCAGCTTCTAGACATGTGTTGTTGTTGTGTGACCATGCATGTGTTGTGTCTATGTGTATGTCTGACTATGTGTGAGTCAGTACATGGAGTCAGTACATGGAGTCAGTACATGGAGTCAGTATGTGAGAATCAGTGATGCCGTTCCTACTCGCATGTCATGTCATGTCCAGTTAGTAGACGTGTTGTTGCTGTGGTTCAGTAGTCTGTTGTCCAACCATGCATTTCTGTTATTGTGTCTGTTTCTCTGAGTTAGTACTGTGACTGTTTCTCTGAGTTAGTACTGTGACTGTGTGTAAAGACTGTCTACGTTCCAAATGGCACCCTATATAGTGCACTACTTTAGACCAGAACCCTATTCCCTATATAGTGCACTACTTTAGACCAGAACCCTATTCCCTATATAGTAAACTACTTTAGACCAGAACCCTATTCCCTACATAGTGCACTACTTTAGACCAGAACCCTATTCCCTATATAGTGCACTACTTTTCACCAGAGTCAAAGCACTACATTTGTTCCCTATGTAGTGCCCTATGGGTCCTGGTCCCATAGTGCACTATATATGAAAATAGAGTGCCATTTGGGATTCGGCCAGTGTGTGGTGTGTGTGTGTGTGTGTGTGTGTGTGTGTGTGTGTGTGTGTGTGTGTGTGTGTTAGAATCAGTGAGCTTGTCTCCGAGCCCTGTCATGCCCTAACAGCGTCCATGCGTCTGTGTGTGTGTGTGTGTGTTGCCAGGAGCAACAGAGTCGCCAAGGAGACGAGTCGTTGCTCCAGAAAGCTCTTGAAGAGAGCAAACGGGAGGCGGCGTCTGGTGGAATTGGGGTAGGGAGAGTTAACACACCGTACTACTCTATGTAACCTAGAGTATATAATGTAGGAACAGTTAACACACCGTACTACTCTATGTAACCTAGAGTATATAATGTAGGAACAGTTAACACACCGTACTACTCTATGTAACCTAGAGTATATAATGTAGGAACAGTTAAACACCGTACTACTTATGTACCTAGTATAATGTAGGAACAGTTAACACACCGTACTACTCTATGTAACCTAGAGTATATAATGTAGGAACAGTTAACACACCGTACTACTCTATGTAACCTAGAGTATATAATGTAGGAACAGTTAACACACCGTACTACTCTATGTAACCTAGAGTGTAGGAACAGTTAAAAAACACACCGTACTACTCTATGTAACCTAGAGTATATAATGTATATCCTATAACGCCTATGACTATCTTATAACTCCTATGACTATCCTATAACGCCTATGACTATCCACCTATCCTATAACTGCTATGACTATCCTATAACTCCTATGACTATCCACCTATCCTATAACGCCTATGACTATCCACCTATCCTATAACTATCCACCTATCCTAACTCTTATGACTATCCTATAACTCCTATGACTATCCTATAACTCCTATGACTATCCTCCTATCCTATAACTCATATGACTATCCTATAACTCCTATGACTATCCACCTATCCTATAACTCCTATGACTATCCTATAACCCCTATGACTATCCTCCTATCCTATAACTCCATCCTCCTATCCTATAACTCCTATGACTATCCACCTATCCTATAACTCCTATGACTATCCACCTATCCTATAACTCCTATGACTATCCACCTATCTTATAACTCCTATGACTATCCTCCTATCCTATAACTCCTATGACTATCCTCCTATCCTATAACTCCTATGACTATCCTATAACTCCTATGACTATCCACCTATCTTATAACTCCTATGACTATCCACCTATCCTATAACTCCTATGACTATCCACCTATCTTATAACTCCTATGACTATCCTCCTATCCTATAACTCCTATCACTATCCTATAACTCATGACTATCCACCTATCCTATAACTCCTATGACTATAACTCCTATGACTTTCCACCTATCCTATAACCCATATGACTATCCCCATATATGCTATAACTATCCTCCTATCCTATAACTATCCTGTAACTCCTATGACTATCCACCTATACTATAACTCCTATGACTATCCTATAACTCCTATGACTACCCTCCTATCCTATAACTCCTATGACTATCCTATAACTCCTATGACTATATCCTCATATCCTATAACTCCTATGACTATCCACCTATCCTATAACTCCTATGACTATCCACCTATCTTATAACTCATATGACTATCCTCCTATCCTATAACACCTATGACTATCCTCCTATCCTATAACTCCTATGACTATCCTATAACTCCTATGACTATCCACCTATCTTATAACTCCTATGACTATCCACCTATCCTATAACTCCTATGACTATCCTCCTATCCTATAACTCCTATGACTATCCTCCTATCCTATAACTCCTTTGACTATCCTATAACTCCATCCTCCTATCCTATAACTCCTATGACTATCCACCTATCCTATAACTCATATGACTATCCTCCTATCCTATAACTCCTATAACTATCCTATAACTCCTATGACTATCCACCTGTCTTATTACTCCTATGACTATCGTCCTATCCTATAACTCCTATGACTATCCTCCTATCCTATAACTCCTATGACTATCCTCCTATCCTATAACTCCTATGACTATCCTATAACTCCTATGACTATCCACCTATCTTATAACTCCTATGACTATCCTCCTATCCTATAACTCCTATGACTATCCTCCTATCCTATAACTCCTTTGACTATATCCACCTATCCTATAACTCCTTTGACTATCCACCTATCTTATAACTCCTATGACTATCCTATAACTCCTATGACTATATCCACCTATCTTATAACTCCTATGACTATCCACCTATCTTATAACTCCTATGACTATAACTATAAGGCCCTGCAACAGACTAGCGTCCTGTCCAGGGGGTGTATTTGTACATCACGCTGCCTCACGCTACAGAAACAGGACACAGGCTCCTGCTCTATGGGCCGCTCTGACTCCGACAAGACTTACCTATTTAATGATTAGAACCTGTTTCTTCTTTCTCTGTGGATAGTCTGCCATGATGGACCTGGTGGAGGTGTTTGCTGTGTCGTCTGAGGTGCCTCCTAGTTCTAGCGCCAACCCCTGGGACCTGCCAGGGGGGAACATCCGCACCCCTCTCCACCACCCCCTCCCCCAGGCCCAGGCTGCTGCTGGGGCTGGTCACCTGCCTGGGGCTGGGGCAGCCTCCGACCCCTGGGACTCACTGGGTAAGAGCTGCTCCAAGCCTCTAAAGAGCTCTAACTCTTAACAGCCGGTCCCAATTCACTCCCTAACCCTTCAACCTTGGCCCTACCCCTTCCTCGTATTGGTCTGGATATGTATACACAGTGTAGTTAGGACCAGGGGAAGGGATAGAACCAGGGGGAAGGGATAGGACCAGGGGGAAGGGATAGGACCAGGGGGAAGGGATAGGACCAGGGGAAGGGATAGGGCCAGGGGGAAGGGATAGGACCAGGGGGAAGGATAGGGCCAGGGGGAAGGGATAGGACCAGGGGGAAGGGATAGGACCAGGGGGAAGGGATAGGGTCAGGGGGAAGGGATGGACCAAGGGGGACAGGGATAGGCCAGGGGGAAGGGATAGGGCTCACAGGGGAAGGGATAGGGCCAGGGGGAAGGATAGTACCAGGGTGACAGGGACTAGGCCCAGGGATGATACTCTAATGACTCAGCTGCTCGAATGATAATCTAACTATGGCCTGATCAGGACTACTGTCCTCAGTCAAGGGGTAATAGTGTAGGTCCTGTCAGTATTGACATCACGCTGCCTCAGTACAGCAGGACACAGGCGTCACTGCTGCTAGGGCACGACTCATGACTCGACAGACTACCTATGTCTTCAGATGATTTAGTACAGTTACTGTCTGTCTCAGTGATGACTCTTTAATACGTTGAAGTATGTTGCTCAGTCGACTGATCATTAAACGTAAGTTACTGCGCCAAATCCACTGACTCCAGGGAATACATTTACAGCTACTGCCCTCATCAGCACGACCATAAACAGGTACCAGTCTACTGTCTGGCCCATAGCACTGACCATGGGATAGCGTCAGTCTACTGTCTGCCCCAGTCAGGACTCATTATACAGTTAAGTACGTCTGCTCCCAGTCAGACAGACTCATAATCAGTTACATCTAGTCCGTCCAGTCAGCACTGACTCTTAATACCAGTACGTCTCTGTCTGGCCGTCGCACTGATCATAGATCAGTTACAGTCTATGTTGCCATCAGTCAGCACTGACTCATTAATACAGTTACAGTCTACTGTCGCTCAGTCAGCACGATCATTAGACAGGTGGAAGCTATGTCTGCTCATCAGCAGACTCAGTGATACAGTTACAGTCACTGGAGGCATAGCAACGCATTAAAGCATACGGCTACTCGGGCTAGTCGTTATGACCAGGATAAGTACTAGCGACCAGCGAAAGGATAGACCATGGAATAATACGTACTGTGGCATCAGCATGACTCATGGATACAGTACAGTACTGGTACCATGGCGCATACAGGCATATCGCTCTACTGCGGGACAGATCAGGACGTCATGGAAAGGAAGTACAGTTACGTGTCTCAGTCACCAGTGATAGATAGAGATACATTACTGTTCCTGTCACCATCATATGCTACTGTCTGCCCTCAGTCAGCACTGACTCATTAATACAGTTACAGTCTACTGTCTGTCCTCAGTCAGCACTGACTCATTAATACAGTTAGCTACTATCTCTCTCTCTGCTCACACTGCATATTAATGTAGCCATTACAGTCTACTTCTTGTCACCTCATACGACTGTATCCTAATACAGTTACATCTACTTCTGCTCACCACTCATACTGTACTGTGCCATTAACATTACTCTCTTCTGTCCACCATCATACTGTGAGGCCAATATTAATACAGTTACAGTCTACTGTCTGCCCTCCAGCATTATCCCAGCATTATCTCTCTCTCTCGCTCGCTATCTCTGCTCACCACTTATACTGTACTGTCTGCCCTCCAGCATTATCTCTCTCTCTGCTCACCACTCGTACTGTACTGTCTGCCCTCCAGCATTATCTCGCTCTCTGCTCACCACTCATACGGTACTGTAGGCCAATAACATTATCTCTCTCTCTGCTCACCACTCATACTGTACTGTAGGCCAATAACATTATCTCTCTCTCTGCTCACCACTCATACGGTACTGTAGGCCAATAACATTATCTCTCTCTCTGCTCACCACTCATACTGTAGGTCAATAACATTATCTCTCTCTCTGCTCACCACTCATACTGTAGGCCAATAACATTATCTCTCTCTCTGCTCACCACTCATACTGTACTGTAGGCCAATAGCCCAAATCAATTGATTACATAATGTGTTCCAGGCTCTGGTAGTTATTCTCTTACCAATACACACCCTCATATAAAAGAAAACTGTGAAACAGTTTGCAAATAATGTTAATAAAGCTTTGTGTAACTCTAATGGAATGTTTATGATCTGCTTATAGACGTGTAATAATGTAAATCCTTACCCTGTCCTGTTAC